CGTTCGTAGGCTCTATTCGCTGAGAGAAACATGACCACCACATCGCGTGCGTGATCTCATTCCCATAATTTCGCAGTCACTGCGCACGGTACAAAATGTCCGTCAGCGGCCTATGACAAGTTTATGGCGCGGCCACGCTAGACCCACCCAGCAAGGTGAACGGCAAGGGAACAGAAAGTAGAGCTCAGTAAATCGCTCTTCAAAACCAGTTCTCCAACGTCAGTCCACAGAGATGTTAGGTCTACCATGCTAGGGTAGTTCATCCTCTCTGTTTTGAAGAATAATTTGCTGTTCCGTAAGCTTTGTCATAATTATTTTGGACGAGTATTTCGTGCAAAGGTCACATGATGAAGTCTCCATTCGGAATTTACTCGACCTGATCTTCGGGGTTTCCACTCACTATGGGACCACCATGGGGGTATCCGTTTTGTTTAATTTTGGTCAGTGTTTTTACGCGCTCGCAACAGCATTATGTCTGCATATTTAAGGTCATATGAGCAAGCGGGACACATTAAACATTTTCAGTTTAGTAGGAATTAATTTTGAATTTTGCCCAGATAGCGACCGAAGCCCACTCTTAAGGATTTCGGACCACCAAGGGATCTTTAACGTGTGCAACTTGCACTCGGGACCCCCGAGATTTTTCGCCCTTATCCGAGAAGGCTTGGTGTTAGATCTTACGCACCCTAAGATCAGGGGTGCGGCTGAAAGTCAGCAGTAAGATGGAACCAAGAAGTAGCAGTTGAAAGGCAACAGAAAGCGTCAGGAGCCCAGAGGAGGTGACAAAGGGGGCGGGGGAGGGAGCCGAAAGTGGAAACGAAAGCAGACGACTGAACATGGGCAGAGAGCAGGAAATGAGGCGAAAGGAGAACATTTTAGAGAAGAAAATTTTCCATTGCTGTCAGACTTTTTGAATGAGAGGCGAACACCGTACGTTTAGACCACGAGAGCCCCCTCCACACTCTATGGGATCAGCATGGGGGTATTCGTGACGTCATATATGCAAAATACGCTTTTATAAATGGAGACCTCGACGAGATCTCCTGCAATCAGCAACGACAGCAGCACCAGAAGCAGAACTGCCACCACCACCACACCACTACCACCACCACACCACCACACA